AGAGGAACAGCAATTTCTCCCACAAAGATTCCCTAGGCTAATTAGGACATGAAGAGGTTGACAGGTTTATTCTCCACTTCCACGCAGGCCTGCCCCAGCCCAGTCCAAACAGATATTCTTAGAAAAGAGAGATTCTGTAGCTCTCTCTGGCATTTACTCACATTTCCAGGCCTCATAGTGAGGAAGTCCTTTGTTATATCTCATTTCAGTCTTTCTCCTATAATTTCATTTTTATTGCCTTTCCCTTGCCCCAGAAGAAGAGAGTGATTTGACTGTCATAAGTTGCATGTATAGTGCGACTCACAGTAATCAATATAGTAACAACCCTCTCTGGGTATATGATTGGTGGATACTATTTGAAGAGTCTCATTTCCCACCAATTGGGAAACTAGGTTGTTTTCTTTCTTTTCCTTTCTTTTCTTTCTTTCTTTTCTTTCTCTTTCTTTTTTTTTTTTTTTTTTTTAATCGTGGGATTCAACAGTAGAATAGGGAGGTAACAGTAAAGAAAATGACGTAAGTTGAGCACCTGCCTGGTCCCTTGTATATGATATCTCAGTTAGTCTTCACAAAACCTAAAACATAGAAATTGCAATTCCCATTTTATAAGTGAGCAAACTGAGGTCCAGAGGTCACTTGCCTAAAGTCAAACAGCTAATATGTAAGTGGTGGAGACAGAATCAAATCCACATGTGATTCCCAAATCTATGTTCCCCCTACCTGGGGGACTTGTATATATCACACAGAAACCTGGGTCTTTAGTTTCCTTGCATTCCTAGTATATATTTGGTTTATTCCCTAACCCCACAAACATGCTGAGATTCTGGCTATTTTCACATGCCCATTTACTACTGCAGGGAAAACGTAGCATCAGAAAAGCGCAAATAACTCCCTCAAGGATTTCCTGTGATCGAATCTGAATCCACTCTACCTGATATCCTCTTTCCTCAGACTGTAATCTCCATAATTGTAAGGACCATATCTGTCTTATTCATCACTGTACCCCTCCTAGAGCCTAGCAAAGGGCCTGCAAACGGGATATGCTCAATATTTGTTGAATGAGCGAATGGCAGAAAGAGATGACTCTATAAAGTAAGATAAAAGAACATAGGACAAAGGTTAAAAAGGCCAACATTTATTTTAAAGAAGCAAAGAAGAAATGAGGTAGCCAGGAAGAGAATGAACGACAGTAAGATAAAATTCAGCACAAACAAGGAAGATAAAAATAGTCTCTCACCACTGTCCTTTTAAAATTACTTTCTATATTTGAGCCTAAGTGACAAGTGAAATCTCCTCTGTAATTTCCCATGTGTTCAGCTTAATGAATTTCCGGCAAATGGTTTCAGTATGGGAGGGCCAATTTGGACACTTTGGGGTAGGGTTGGTGAGAAAATGAGGGGTATGGAAATAGACTAAGTAATTGAGTCTAGAAACCAACAAAGGGATGATTGGAGGCATGTGAGGAGGGAGCCAAGTCTTGGAAATTGCTCAACATCAAGAAGTCCTGGGAATTGGTCTTACTCTAGTTAATGTCACCATGATGTTTCCCTAAATGTCACAAAGGGAGCCCAGAATCCCAGGATGCCTTGCAACTATTCTTTGTACATTTCGCCTATCTTCTAAAGAGCTTTATTTGTTTATATGGAGGGCATTATATTAATAATTTAATTTCAACCATTGGAGGGAACAAAGAGACTTTGGCTCTTTCAGGTCTATAGGCCTTCAACACAGTAGGTACAATATAAACGTTGAACTGAATCATTATGAAGGAGTCAATCATTATGAGGGAGAGGAAGTAGTATGAGAATGCACAGTCTACCCCTTTGCATCTGTGCTGCCCACACAAATGCATTAAGTTTCTCTGTTACTGAGAAGGAGCTCTGAGAGGGCACAGGACCCCGAATAAAAAGTCCTCTCTAGTCCTTAAAATTGACAATGACCATGCAGCCAACAATTTATAGAGAATTGCAGATCTTCCAGGTCCTCAAATATACTTTTCATTGTTGTTTTGACAGCTTTATTGAGATATATCATACGTATGGTCAATATCATACAATTCACCCAATTAACGAGTACAATTCAATGGTTTTTGTTATATTCACAGATATGTGCAACCATCACCACAATTTTAGAACATTTCCATCACCTCAAAAAGAAACCATGTAACCTTTACCTATCACTCTAACCCCTCAAACCCCAGACCTAAGCAACTCCTAATTTACTATCTGTTTCTATAGACTTTCCTAATCTGGACTTTCATATGAATGGAATCATATGAATCATATGTCTTCTTTAATTTAATGTAATGTTTTCATTGTTCATTCATTCCTTTTCATGGCCAAATAATATTCCACTGTATGAATATGCCGTATCTGTATATCCATTTGTCAGTTAACAAATATTTGAATTGTTTCAACATTTTAGCTATTGTGAATAATGCTACTATAAACATTTGTGTACAAGTTTTTGTGTGGACACACATTTTCATTTTCTTGTGAATATACCTAGGAGTAGAACTACTGAGTCATAAAGTAATTCTATATTTAATCATTTGAGGAACTGCCAGACTGTTTTCCAAAGTGGCTATACCATTTTACATTCCCACCAGCAGTGTATGAGGGTTCCAATTTCTCTGCATTCTTGTTAATCCAACTATGCTTTTGAGAAATAATGACAGTGGCAGGGTCCCACTCTAACTTGGGTAGCTATTACAGAGCAGCAACAGGAGGACAGGATGAAGGAGGGATCCCTCTTCTACTCTAAGCCCTTAGAATCATCCAGAGGGAATACTGCTATCTTCAGTACTCTCCCTGAATCCCCGGGCTAGGTTAGCTGCCCCCTGACATATGCCCAGAGACACTTATATTTGTCCTTTCCCACTAGATTGTAAGCTTTAGGCAGGCAGGGATCTCCGTTGCTCTATCTGCAGTGCCTGAACACAGTATGGCAAATGGTAGGTGTTTAGTAAATGTTGATTGACTGACTGAACAAATTAAATATTTCTCTAGTGGTGGTTCTTGTCCAGGGAAGAGAGAAAAAGAACAGTCTCAGGGGCCAAGGGCATCAAGGAGAAAAGCAAGTAGAGGATAGAAAGGGAAATGCAGGCAAGAAGGTTGGGGACCTAGTGTCCCTTAGGGCCAGCCTTTCAATTATGAGGTCAAACCCAGAGCTAATGGACTTACCCTAATCCTTTGTCTTTCATCGGGCTGTATTTTATTCTAGAGATTTTCCCCTTTTCTTTTTTGGTATTATTCCTAACAATTTTGTCTTTGCAAGAATATGGTAAAAGACCACATAAATCAACTCACCAAAATGCATTCAGAATTTAAAAGGATGGAGGTTAAGAATGTTGACTATGAAGGATATTTTAACTAGGAAATAAAGAAATCATAACCTATGTTTTCTCCCAAAGACACTGAATGGCCTATATTGAAAAAATAAAAATCTATATTTTCAATATGACATGAGAACCCGGTCCACTAATCTGTGAATCCAGTTCTCACCGGGTCATTGGTCCCTCTCTCCCCAAAGGCTTTAGTATCTCCCGAGCCTCAATTACTTCCTGTCTCTTCTCTGAAAGCACATATGCACAGGATCACACAAACCTCATTTTTCCTTTTCATGAATCCTCAGAGTAGCTCTGCTTTCTCCATTTCGTGTGTTTGGAAGGAAAGAAAGCAAAATATATGAGATGCCAATGCAATTTCTCCTTTAGCAGAGCTCCACAGGACAATTACCCACCCAATCTACTCGGTTTTATAGCTCTCATAATCCTCCTTCATGAACGCACAGTGACAGCTGGATAAAGGCATTGATTATAGCAGCAGTCGTTAGCCACATTCCTATTTAATTGCAAAGGAGAGCTCCTGCCTACCAGGCCGGTGCTGTTCATGTGACTTTTTAAATTGCTGTATTTATGTAAGTCTTTTTCCAACCAGAGCCTGCGTCCACCTCTATCAAAACTGAAGAGGATATGTGCTTGCCACTTCTCCAGTGGCTCTCTGGCCTTATTGCTGATGGGTGTCTTGCTGGAATCAATTTAGGGTTCTGGACTTTCTGAGCAGAGGTCTGGGAGGGTTGGGTGCACAGAAAACATATATATATTTTTTTCATTATGAAAAAGCTTAAGAAAGATGATAAAACACGTTGGCAGATGCCAATGGCAGAGGCTGATTCCCAGGGGCTCGCCTGGCAAAGGTGCCAGGTGCAATCGATCAGCAGAGCTGGTAGAATGTCGGGGATGGGGCTAGGAAAGAAAGGGTTCTAGTATTCGGGGAATAGATTTAGAA